ACCTGACTAGCATTGGCTTCACACAACCAGTCAGGACACGCTGGTAAGATGCTGACAATGCCTACGCTAAGAGTTTGTAAAAATAAGTAGGGCAGTATATCTGAAGTATTTGGAATACAGCAGTTACTTAATGAATAATCCCCCCTCCAGACCAGCCTCATAACAAAGCCGCAGCTCCAAGAACAACTAGAAGTCCTGTTATCTTCAAGTCACAGAGGTACCTAAGTCCACAGGCGGACAGACTGCTGGAGCTGAAGGCTTCATGGGTGGGGTAGCACGGTGCTTGGGGATACTTCTGACTCATATGTGTCTTGATCTCAAAACTTAGCTTTTAAAAATGAGATGTCACGTGACTATCCCAACTCCAACTTCTCTTAAAAGTTGCCTGTCTGTGGAGGCGCTGTCTTGTGCCCTTGAGCCTGAACTGTCATGGCACAGAACAGAATTAGCTAGAATCAGGAACTGGCTCTTGCTGTAGCACTAGCTGAGCAAACAACTTCTTTGGGTATTCCCCCGCCCTCTGCAAAATATGAGCTATCGGGGCTCTGAAGCTGTAGTTCATCTTTTAGGTATAAAAAGAAAAACTAGTTTTTGTTTTTTAATGAATTCCTCCGTCATACCATACTATAGCCACTTAGTCAGGTATTAGGATACACACACACACACACACACACACACACACACACACACACACACACACACACACGGTTATTCTAACTGTAGGCATCAGTATAAAGGCCATGGTGACTCAGGAGTAAAGAACTCCCCTACGCAGAAATATACTGGCAAGACGTAAGCTTCCCAACAGCAGATGTTGAACATGCTGACGTGTGGCATATCCATCTGCTCTAGAAATTTCCCTATTTCCATATTCTCATCTTGTGTGTGGGGTTTTTTTTTTTTTTTTTTTTGAGGAGGTTGAACATGCCACGCCTCATCTGCACAGGCTTTCTGCTTGACTGGCCTCAGACAAAGTTACCATTAACTCTCCAACCTGCAAGAAAATGATTTGACACAAAGGATTCCAAGATGTCCTCCTCTCCCCCTACAAGGCTGCAAACAAATAGTACAGGAATGAGGTCAGAAAGGAATTCCCCACCCACCAGGCACTGAATTCATTTACCTACCTCAGTGCCCATTCAGAGAAAGGGGTGGGACAGGGAACAAGAGCTGCTTGGAGGCCAAGTAGAGTTTGGGGGTCGCACTACATTACAAGATTTGACAGGCCTTTGCCAGCCTTCAGCTTCTTTGTATCTTTCAGATAATGGAGCAACACAAACTGAGCAGCCACGATCTGTGGTGCCGCCCTAGCACAGAGCACCCTCTTTGCAAATGCTAATAGTATTGCAGCATCTTGTCATCCGCTTACACAAAAAAGGATGTTGATTTTCACATGAACCAGAACAGCCTCATTGTACACAAGTTTGTGACCAACTTGTACTGTCTGCACATCAAAAGCCCAGCCAATCACAGAGTACACAGCTGGCAAATGGCACCAAAGGGGGCTGCCCATGGGGAGAACATCCCGGTCCCAATGCCTCACGCCACATGAATAAAATTACACACTATGATCTTGATCCAGCTATGGCCATAGTAATTAGTATAATTAGCAAGAATGTAAATGTGTCAAGATGTTTTCGAAGAGGAGTCTGGATGCATAAAAATGGGAGTGGCTTTGTGTTTATGCTGAGACCCTCTCAAAGTGTCTGAAAGACATACTCCCAAGAGGCTTGGCAGGAAAAGTTTCCATATTAAGGCTTGAGAAGCCTGATGCATCTCAAAGCAAGAGAACCAAGAGGCGTATATGAGATTTCTGGAAATAAATTTCGCTGAAATTGTACAGGCTTCTGTTAACACCTTTCCTTTCAAAGGTGTTAGATTTTTAAGTAACAAAAAGACAGCCAAAGAGAGGAACTTAGGAAATCTAAATTCGGTACCATGGAAGAGAGAAAAAAAATTAAACATTTGAAAAACTGGGATAAAGATAAGTCTGCATCTTAAGAGGTTAACTCTAAAAGATCAGTATCTCCAAAAGTAAGAGGAAATTCACAGGGGAAGGGAAACCGCACAGGAGCTCTGTCCACTGAAGCCGCAGCACGCCTCTGCTCAGAACCGTTTCTGCAGCACAGCCAGGACTTCTAGACAGATCTCACTTGGCTCATGGCTAGTTCCTTATACTCTTTACAGTGCTGAGCCCAGCCAGACCTTTGATAGGCTTTCCTCCTAATACTCTTCGGCACCCCCGCCTCTCATGCTGTTCAGTGAGGAGGCAGCTTTGCCACTGTCTCTGGGTGTGTGCAGTTTGTTGTTGAGGCATTATTATGGTGACTTCTGGATATTGCTATCTATAAATAACAATAAAAAACCCATATGTATTTGGCATTCAGGGGGACTGGCTTGTTGTCTGTGTGGACATTTTCAGTTTACATCCACTAGACAAACATGTTCTTAACCAAGAGACAATAGCCCTACACTTAGGGCTGGGTGTGGCTCAGTGGTAGAGTGTTCAGTCTTCAATCTCCAGTACCATGGGGAAAGAAGAGGAGGGATGGAGGGAGAGAAAGAGAGAGGAACATGGGGATGGGCACAGTAAAGAATCAACAACAGAGGGAGAGTAGATCATTCCTCCAGTGAGAGGTCATGGATTTGCAGAACTTCCTAGTGGCTGAAGCAGGAGTTCTGCCAGAAACGACAGGATGTTCACTGTCTCTAATGGAAGATTTGCAGGCTCAAAATTATCTAGTAACTGTGACATTCATTTTAGGGCAAGAGTGACAAACACTAGAATTTTGCAAAGGATACTATGTTACCTTCCTTGACCAGATGAGATGCATCATGTATTTGCACATGGAAGTCATAGTGGAGGAAGGTGAATGGTCCAGACAGTACTGCCTGAAGATGGAGCTAATCTATTCCCTTCAAATCCCTTCACAAAACCTTCAAGGTCTCATGAGCATTTGGTACCAGCTACAGCGGATAAAATCCCAACTTCCAGGCTGCTCTGTGACTCAGTGTATGCACGACAGTGGAGCTATCCCCAGGAGGAGCGAGCAGGGGACCTGTCCCTAGGAGGCTGCTACCAGCAATACTGTGTGGTGACTGGTTCTTCAGTGGGGTCTCCAGTCTCCCCTTCCAAGCTTTTGATATCAAGTACTCGCACAGGGATCAGTTCACATCTGTATTAGTTTACACTAATAAAAATAGCGGCAATTCTTTACCACAAAGAGGTACAGAAGAGCTGACTTAAAAATATTTAAGAGTAGTTAAATGTCATTATTCTATCATTAATGGAAGTGATGACCACAGCAGCACAGTATAAAACTTGAAAGCTGTCCTTTTTTATATTTTACTGAAGAAAAGGCCAAAGTGTTTTGACAAATATTGAGATAGGAAAAGAAGCATCAGCTGAACATGGATTGCAACTGTGAAATGCAAGGTTCATGACATGCAAGCCTTCTGAGAAAAGCCACTTTGAAAGCCACTGTTCTTCCAAAAGAACCCCGGCCTTGATTTTAAGAGCATGAAACACTCACTTAAGTCTTTTCAGTAGGAACCATGTACATGCTCACCACTCCCTTTGTTTTGAGACAGGCTGCCATAGATTGACTTCGGACTCCTTTTTTTGAGACAGGATTTGTCTGTGTAGCCCTGATGGTCCTGGAACTCATTCTGCAGACCAGGCTGGCCTTGAACTCAGAGATCTGCCTGCTTTTGCCTCCTGAGTGCTGGGATTCCAGAAGGTACCACGTGTGGTCATGTTTCTAATTTTTAAGGTGGTAACTCAATTCTGCCCTTTTAGGAAAAGAATTTAATATGAGGAATATTTTTCTTACCCATAATTTTATGAACTGTGTCCCTCAGGATAAAGATCTAACTAGTTCTTATGTTAACTTTTAGCCTCTTTAATTTTTTTAATTTAAATTAGAAACAAGCTTGCTTCACATGTCAATCCCAGCTTCCTCTCCCTCCCCTCCTCCCTTGCCTCTCCCAGCCCCCTACCCAATCCCTACTCCATTCCCCAGATAGAGAGCAATGCCTCCATGGAAGATCTCCAGAGTCTGTCATTTCATTCAGGGCAGGGTCTAGGCCCCTCCTGTAGTTCTTGTCTTAATCTTCCAGTTTACTGTCAATGTCTGCTTTGTCTAATTAGTGTAGAACCCGGGACCAACATAGTTACCACAAGCTGGGTATGCAATTATTTACAATTTTTCTAATATAATGAAACACACTTGTGTTATTCCTTAGCACATTGTAACTATATTAATTCCTTAACTGAATATATATGCTAAAAGAAAACAAACTGTTCTATTGACTCTTTAGTAACTAAATTCTTACTTTTTGGATAAAGATTTGGAACTTGAACCATAGAAAGGACCAATGCTTGAATTACAACAAAGCATTGTTGTAATTACATTCACTGACCAGAAATATGTCTTTCTGCATCTTCTTCCAGTGTGGACTTCAGCCGAGCACTTGGAATCTGAATGAGGGTTTATACAGTACTCCGCACAGCTAATCACCAGCGAGTTACTTTATGAGCGTCACTTAGGGGCAAAGTGTGGTGGCAATAAAAAGTGAGGACAGAAGGTTTTAATCAGGATGGATAGAAGTCATCTTTACAGTTCCCTCCAGGTCTCAGAGTTAGTTAACGCCCCTTAGCAAGCTCCTGTGGGACTGAACATGTCATTGTTCCATCATTAATGGAAGTGATGACCACAGCAGCACAGCATAAAACTTGAAAGCTGTCCTTTTTTATATTTTACTGAAGAAAAGACCAAAGTGTTTTGACAAATATTGAGATAGGAAAAGAAGCATCGGCTGAACATGGATTGCAACTGTGAAATGCAAGGTTCATGACATGCAAGCCTTCTGAGAAAAGCCACTTTGAAAGCTTCTTGGGTCACAGATTTGCCTATATTATGAGGTCAAATCACGACCCGGGGTACAGAGGTATCTCTTCCTCATTAAAATAAAGACAATGTAAAAGATGCTCTCCATAATAGAGTTATAATGTCACTTCAGTATCTTTTAATTACCCATCTACACAAATGACCTTAGATCAAGCACAGGCAAATATAAGTCGTAGTAACATTTACATCAAGTGTAAGGTTTAAAAAAATAATACAAAGTCCATTCACAGTGCACATGAAGACATGGTTAAGTTTTAAATACTTAGATATTAAATAGTCATGATTGTTTAGAAGGTAAGCATATTTTCAAGCACATTTCCATTTGTTACAGCATGTGACAGTCTACCATACACCAGCGTAGAGGATGGAGATACGCCAGCACCATCATCTCATTTATTGGAAAAAGATACCATGTTTCTTATCAGATAAATACATCTGAAATAAATAAATACAAAATCAACTAGAAATTTGCCTGTTAAGCCTATACTCTTAATTTTATTATTTTTGTTTTTGAGATAGGGCCTCCACAGGGAGCTCTGGATTGCTTTTAACTCATAATAGTCCTGCTTCTGCCACCCAAGGGCTGGGATTACTGCAGTATGCCACCAGAATCCTATATGTGACATTCCAAAACTGCAGGTGGGAAGTCTCACTCGCTGTGCTCCCTATGCACTTACACTGCTCATTTCCATTTGGGTACCAGGCAACCTGTGGGAGTGCACTGAGTATGGCCTAGTTCACAGGAGACTAGGAGTAAGACCCGGAAAGGCTGGCCGCTCCACCTGTAACTGCAGCCTGGTTGCTGTGCGGGGTAAAGCAGCAAGCTTGCTTCCTCTGGCTAATGTTGTACAGACTCGGGGTTTATAATCGAAATCCCAACCAGTTCGTTTTGCTTACCATCTCCTTAAACATCCCTTAGTTCTCCAAATAGAATTTTGTTTACTCCATTCTTTGCATATCTGGACGTGAGAAACAAATGATTTCTTGTGCAGTTAGACTTGCATTTCTGTATAGTAAGTGCCAGAACTATAGATGTGATAGACAGACAGGGTCAACTGCTGGACTGAACTTTATTTCCTTCCCACAGCTTCTGCATTTGATAAATACCTAGCTTTTAAGGGTATGTGTGTGTGTGTAAAGGCATGTTTAGCTTGAAACCAGGTTAAAAATAACCCATGGGGGATGTGAAGAATGACACGGATTTTTGGTAATTAGTTGAAGTTACAAATATTGACCCCCTCAAGAAATAAAGGTTCTCTTCCACGGGGAAAAAAATATACAAAGGGATATGATGCCTCACATCAGCCTTTTGCTTAGGAAAAACCTGGAGATTTCTCCTGCAGGGCTCCCCTTAGCTAATATTCAACACAATCCCACACCTAAACAGGACACAGGGCACATGAGCACTCTGGCCTGGGACACGATGGACGCTGCTCTCAGATGCTGAGGGTCGAACCTAAATGTCTTCTCTGATAATTTAAATAAAATACTTACTGAATTTACAGTTTCTGAAATATTTTGCCTTTCATACTGTCAGAATTTCAGAGAATCATGATCTGTATTTGTAGTTTTTAAAAAAGTATGTGTGTGGGTAGAGAATTGTTATCAAAAACAATTCCAAGAAAATTGCTTATAAAATTAACTGTGACCTAGAAACTGCAACACTGGGCATTTTACTGGCACGATAAAGCCTTAATAATAAAAAGTAGCAAATGAAAGAGATGTTTTAAGTAAAATATGGCATATTTGTTTTAGCCAATACAGTTTTAAATAAAACACATGACAATGTTGTGAGGATTACTACTGTAACTGAACTGCAGTGAATTAAACAGAATTTTCATATTTAAGAGGTGGGTCACTGTTCTCCCACTTGTTAGAATAATCTTTATTTAAAATAGTGTATGACGGATGTGCTGCAGCCTGACCTAGTTCAAATGTTTGACATCACTCTAAATGAAATTTGTCAGGTGATTACCTTTAATCTTCTCCATTTTGGGTCATAATTCAATGGCTGTCAACAGGAGAGATGCATTATTACCAGAAAGTCTGATGGAAAGCACACAATATTCAAAAAGAATTCATTGCAAATGGATATAGAGAGTGTAAAAACAGCAATGGATGTAAGCTGTTGCTATTGGCTTCCAAGGCGAGTGTCTAAGCTGGTAACAGTAAGTTGATGCTTCTGTCACTGAATATGCACAGAAACTGTCCAATATAAGCTAACCTGTCTGAAACACTCTTTTGTAAACCAGTTTTCTTTCATGTGGTGAACATAAACTGAATTATTACAGCCCAACAGTCCTGGATACAGAACACTTCAGACAGATGATGGCTTAGCAGGCAATCGTCGCCATATATACAATTTTAAGAGACAATTGATGTCTCTTAAAAATTACTTTAAGTTTTATTCCAAAGCAACTACCATTATATGTCTGATGACATCCCTAATGAATTCCACTGGTGCCACCACAAATAAGACTTGAGAGATAACTTCCTTATCTTTGAGGACTAAGCCTAAGTAAGGGCCATGGCAAACTTGTTTTCCCAATGTCACATCAGTAAACACAGACTGTGGGGTCATTTTCACGGTTCTTCTGCTCACGAGGCAGCCGAGGGCTGAAGTGCCTGTGACACACAGAAGTTAATTTTACCCTATGACTTTATTTTGCACTGAAAAGGTAGAACAGGAGAAAGGAGGCAGAACAAAAGACCGAAGTTCTCGTTCTTCGAATGTATGCAGAGGTGATTAGGAGCAGGATTCTGTAAAAATAAATTCATTTAAGAAACTCAGATTTGGCAAGACAAATGAAAAGACTTAAGCAACTTTATCATAGCATGACTAAATATCAAAGCTTAATTGTTTGAATTGTCTAGATTTATTAAACTATCTATTTTTGCCATAAAATGGTAGCATAATTTTACCAAACATTATGTAAATAAATGTATAATATAGAATTAATTTCTTTTTTTCCTCCAATTTTTTTCCTAACACTGATTTGTGTGTGTGTGTGTGTGTATCTGTGCCAGAGTGTGGGTGTAGAAGTCAGAGGACAGCAGGAGTCAGTTCTCTGCTTCTATCTGTGGGTCTTGGGGATTGAACTCAGGTTAGGCTTGGTGCAAGCTCCTTTACCTGATGAACCATTTTGCCAGCCCCAGAATTCATTTCTTTCTTTTTCTTCCCTTTTTTCTTCTTCTGAAATAGGGTTTCTCTAATGTAGCTCTGGCTGGCTTAGAACTCATAGAGAAGTGTCCGTTTCTACCTCCTGAGTGTGCCACCACACCCAACTTCTAGAATTCTTTCTTAAAACATTACAACTATTGCATAGAAAAGCAAAACGAGTACTCTGAGGTGTGCCACACATGTTGGAACTACAAGGGAGAATACAGCTCACTTCTGGTGAAGAGCTTCAGTGAAATGGAAAAAGCAGCTTTGTAAGTTATTTAACACACAGGACTACCTACTGTCAGCACAAGGGTAAGATAAAAACAAGTGCAGATCCGCTTTTCAGGGTAGAAAAATGAGTCACCTACATGTTGGAAAATAATTATAAAATATTTTTATTAACCTTGGTTCTTTTCAAAAGGCGTTCTAGAGAATAGCTGTGGTTTAGCCAGAAGGTAATCAAATGATTTAAAGGTGTGGAACAACACAAAGGAAGCTGGCTCCAAGAGTTATGCTATCAAAGGGATCACATCATCGAGAAGAAGCAAGCTGGATGCTGCCATCAGAACCACGAGTTACTGAGAAAGGTTTCAAATACTGCAGTCTCAGAATTACTCACTTCATACAATCTACTTCTCCTGGTGAAGAGCTTCAATGAAGGCATCAAGTTTCTCTTGAATTTCTCTAACTTTCTCTATGGAGATAAAAAGAGGGAAATATAAACACATACTTTTCAAAGGCAGCATAAATTATTAGAGAGAATCCGTATCATTAAATCGTCTACAAGGCATCTTGAATTGAGGAAAAGGGAGAAACTCATTCTCACTCGACCTCCTGTGGCTCATGTCCAGGTAGGTCAGAAGAGCAGCAAGTGGCCACTCTTGGAATGCAAAGGAGGAGAGATGCTTGACAGAACCCTTTGGGAAACTACTAAATAAAGCCGTGACCTCTTACACAGAACACTGCTTGTCTGCCTACACATAGAATTGTCTTACTGCAATCTTAGATTCCTTGAAGCCCCCCCCCTAAAAAAAAAAGAAAAGGCTATTTTAAGGAATTAACAAGCAGAGATGGTGGCTTATGGCTGTAAACCCAGCACGTGTGAGGCCCAGTGTGAGCAGAATGCCAGCTGGGGCTGTGCTGTCAGACCCATTATCTCAACAATGACAGGGAAAGGACAAAATTGGCCCTCATCTGAAAAATGACCGTCTAAAATATAAACTAACAGGTGAAGTTACCAGGAAGGTCAGGCAATACCAGTGTGATGAGATACAATGTACTTCATTCATATTTCAAATGCAGGAAATAGAGGCAAAGGAAACTGGAGAATATCTTTAACATATGAAAGTACCTTTTTAGGTGTGAATATGAAAAGTTAAAAAAATAAAAAGAACCACTGAAAGTAGTCTTACATTTATTTCAATTTTTAGTTTTTCTGTTTTGTAGGAGGAAACTTAGGACTGCGCCATTAGCCACGTGGCGCACTAGAGGCACATACGGATGTGGTAACGAAAGGTTGGAACCGCGCCGCTAACCACACCCATTTTGGGCATGACTAGGGACAGGGCGGTGAACTACGCCGCTAGCCAGGCCCACTTTTGGGCATTGCTGGAGGTGTGTATGGAGGTGGGAATAAAAGACTGTAGCAGAGCCACATTTGCTCTCTTTTCGGCTTCTGGTTTGGTAGCGAAAGACTTGACTCATCTGGGTTGCCCAGTTTCTCTTGTAAGTAATTTCTACAATAAAGTTACCTATACCTTCAACAAGTGTGCCGTGTATCATTACAGCGACATTGTTTATTGGATTCTACATAAAATCTGTAGTTTCTCTCTGAAACGTCCCCATTATATGCTATTGCTGCTTAGTCATGTACCTCCTGTATTAGAGTGTCAGTTACACTAATCAGTGTGAGAAATGCTTTCATCCCTTCAACACAATTTAACCCATCAGTGGGAAATACCAACTGATGGGAGCCAACTAGTTCAAGGTTGAGACCTGAGACTGCCAAGCATCCATTCTCTACTCAGAGCAGATATCATATAAGGAGTCATTAATGGTCAACATTATATCTTCTGCAATTAAACAATCTGTGTTGGAAGATACACATTTTATTAGTAGTGTGCATTGGTGATGAGGGCCCAGCCAAAGAAAGAATTGTCCTTCTGTAAGTTTGACAGCATTGTAGGACTATAATGGTGGCTACTACAGTCACATACAAAGGACAGTGTTTGCAGATACTGTGTAATTTACTATTTCTAATTCGTGGTATTATATTAAAAACAAGAAAGTATGTGGAGAAGAAAGCTCTATTGTTTTGATCAAACCACTCAAAAAATCTGATAACAGTTAAGGCAATGGTAGCATTTCTTCCTACAGATGAGTGAACTAGAAATGCTAAGACAACACCAATCTATCTCTTACAATTTCAAATTACAAGTGTGTGTGCGCATGTGCATGATCAGTCAGGGAGTGCTTCAGCCAGAAGATGCAACACACATTCCACTGAACTATAGCTCAGTATGCCCCTGGGCCACGTTGGGCTGCTGCTGCCCCTAAGCTAACAGACTAAGACAGGAATAATAGTGTCAGGAGGGGTGACTGATCCACACTTCCCTCGGGAAAGTGAACTGCTCCTGCACAATGCAGGTAAGGAGGATTATGTCTAGGACACTGGAGACCCTTTAGGACAACTTGGCTTTTCCTGAGTAAGAAGAATGGGAAACTACAACAACCCAACCCAAGCAGATGACAAATGGCCTAGAACCTTCAGGGATGAAGGTAGTGGTCATTTTTCCAGGGAAAGAACTGGACCTGCTGAGGTGCTTGGAGGAAACAAAGAATGAATAGTAGAGGAAGGTAGCCATACACACACCAGCCAAAGTCACATGACCAGAAAATGAAGATGGTAATTGACATTCATGTTTCTGTGCTATTTTTGTTAAGAAAAATAGTGACTGTGCATATATGCACACATATCAAGCAGATTCTTTCTTCTTCTCTTACCATGCAATGCAACATCAATTGAGTTAATATCAGCGGTTAAGTGTCATCAATCTACATGACACAACCTAGAGTCAAGTGGGAAGAGGTAACATCAATTGAAGAATTGCCTTGATCAGACTAGACTGTGTAAGATTTCCTGATTGAGACTGATGCAGTGGGGGTACCATCCCTAGTTAGGAAGGCCTGAGCTGTATAATTGAGTGCTCATCCCACAATGAGGGATGCTCTCTCAGTCTGGACTCTTGGGGTAGGGCCTAGGCCCTGCCCTGGATGAAATGACAGACTCTGGAGATCCACCATGGAGGGCCTCACCCTCCCTGGGGATCAGAGTGGAGATTATGTGGGGGACTGGGGGACCTGGTGGGGAGGGTGGGGGAGGAGGGCAGGGAGAGGGAGCTGGGATTGACATGTGAAGCAAGCTTGTTTCTAACTTAAATTTAAAAAAAAAGTAACGAAGAAAAGGTAATTTTTAAATAACTGAGTATTTTTCAGAATTTCACAAACATGCAGTTCTTTAAATCATTCTTTAAACAAGATGAAGAAAACAGCTTTTCAAATTATCCTTCAGCAGTTCCAGAGATGACCATGGTCTTTATAAAAACTAAAACAAACAATAAAAATCCCAGCAAGATCCCACCTGTTTGAAAAGCACAACAGGAGAGAAATCCCACAAAGGTGCTCCCAGCCTCAGCAGCTCCTAGTCACTCCCTGGTGAGCAGTCTCTGCAGAAAGCATAATCCAACTCTACTTCATGCATGATCTGAGTGCAACTGGGCAGCCACAGGGTCAGTTTGCCAACCTTTGCCCTATCAGTGGCCTCCATCCTCTGAGGGGCAGACTGTCTGCAGGTGTGTGGCACAGTGCTGTCACCCATGGGGGACAGGTCAGAGCAAGAGCTATTTGTGCGAAGAGACACCAAAGTTGCACTGAGGCAGGTGTCCAATTCTGGAGTGTCTAAAGGGAAATTCAATTTTTAGAAACTGAAGAGGCAAGCATTTTTTTTTTCTAAATGAAAGTTAAAAGACTATTAACACAAAAATACAGAAAATTCTAATTTTCCCTTAAAAAGTTACACTTTTATGAAAAGTTTTACAATTGTAATGTCAGGGCATGGTACTGCCTTGCCATAAAACCTTAAGAATGCTAGAAAGCATTTAAGTAAGTCAACAGAAGCAATGGGGATGGTGGATGAGGAGAGGCCTATACGAGGAAGAAGAGCCACAGCCAATAAGCGTCACTGTCACCCTGAGGAAATTCAATTGTGCTTTTCACCTGTGTAATGATGTGAACAGATGGAGTCTTCTGGGACACGGGACAACTCTCCCTCCCTGTTTAGAGAGGGTTATCTAATTATGTGCACGTGCCGCGCTGTGTGGGCATATGCAGCTATGGAACTGCGGCTGTGTGTGAGCTCTTGTGGCTCTTCTGCTCTTCACTGCTCAGCTGGCTTCCTCCAGCTTCGGGAGGTTCCTCCTTTGAGAAGTATCCCAAGTCTTTAATGCCAGCACCGGGGGGGAGGTGGGGAGAATGGGGAAAGAGGATGGGGGGGGGGCACGGGATGGCACATGGACCACAGAGGCAGGCTGATCTCTGAGTTCAAGGCCTGCCTGGTCTACAAAGTGAGTTCCAGTACAGCCAGGGCTACACAGAAAAACTCTGTCTCAAAACAGCCAAAACCCCAACCCCAAACCAATAAGTATGCTTTGCTTATTCTCTGTCAGTCCAGGAATGTCTACTCTTTTGAAGCGATTTCAAATTTGACATTTTGTTTGTCTCTTTCAGTCTTGGAGGCAGCCCTGCTAAGGAAGAGCCCTGCTCAACCTTTCTGATTTAGAAAAACGTAGGAGGTCTGCTGCTTCATGCCGAAGCAAAGAGCAACAGAGCAAACGGCACTGTCTCAAGTGTGCTGGGGTTTCCTTTCACGTCAAACAGGACACACTTGGGAAAATCAGAAACCAGCACAAATCAGTATGGCTAACTATAAAACAAATCCCAATTCTCTCAAATATTTGGATTAAATATTCAAATAGAGAATTCTTATAAAATCTGTGGCCTCTTTGATAAATTAAATTGACTCAGGAAGGGCTTAAACTATCCTGTGACACAGTTCTACATGTAGTGAATACGGAGGCTCGTTCCCATTTACCCACTGTTTACTTAAAAGATGAGCCATCTCAAACATCAATTCATTGTGCATCTTGATTGAGTCATGAATATTCCCATAATCCCCAACTCGTAAAGCACCAGCCTCAGTGAATGATGTTCCTTCTCTTTCTTCTTCTCTTCAGATGACCTGACACCCATTCACATTTTAGGTCTCTTTATCCCCACATGAAATGGCACTGCTCCTCTCAGAGCTTTTCGTCTTCTTATTCGTGCTCTAAAAGTCCCAAATACAGACTAATCTGTAATTAGGTTTTGAATACACTGAGACTGCCAAAGGCATAACCTGGGAGAGGGATCACTTCAGTGGTTGATATCAGTTTAGAACACGAACAAAGAGCCACGCACAAAACACTACCACATGCACTGAAATCACCCTTAGACAATTTGTGATGTCTTTAAAGAACGCATGGACAAACGGACTGAAGGACTGATACAGAGCACTTTAGGCAAACCATATACCGAAAGGTGCAAACCACTCAACAGCTGCCCCATATCACAATGCGTGAGCACTCCACACCATCCTTT